TTTCTTCGCGGAAGGGCTTGCGGAAGCTCATGTGTGCTCCTCTTCCTAGCCCTGTCCTGCAGTGCGCAAGAGCCCGTGCGAGTGATCGCAAAAACAAAGGTGAGTCAACAGCAACTCAGTTTTTCCCAGAAGGGTAACTTCAAACCAAGTAATGCCGAACTTACGGCGTGTCTGAAATCTGGAAACCTTCTAGAATCCCATGTGTTCCCCTTATAATCTTAATCCATGCATAACCCTCCAACATTGCTTGTATAACCAAGCAAACGAAGTCAGCCGAAAAGAGCGTGCGCGGAAAGCCTTGCGTAGTCTTCGGAGCCCTTTTGCGGAAGCAGATCCCGAAATTCAGCCGAAAAACCTTCGCGGAAGCAGCCGCGGGGAAGGCGGAAGCAAAAAAGACTACAAGCGCTACTCGCGGAAGGGCTTTGCGGAAGGGGTAGTTTCTGTAATGAAATTATATAGGACCAAAAAATCATGGCCCTTGTGGGATCGTGAGATTGTTTGGGAACTTGCCCTCCATTCAGAAACTGCATAATGTTGGAAGCTGTGTCAGAAACTGCGTCCAAACATTGGAATGCGTTCAAGAAGCAGGGCTCATGGGTCAGGGTTGCAGGACAAGAGTCGTTGGATACAATTGCGAAAGCTGCACCCCCTTCGCCTTGCAGTTGCAAGGACACAGTGCCATACGGAAACTCGGGTAAATAGATGTCTGAACACCATCCCAAACAGGGTGCAGTTGAAAGGACGCAGTGACACAGGGAAACTCAAGTACTCAGTGGGCATTAGCCAAGGCCACCCCCCTTTCCTTGCAAGTCGCAAGAACAAGGAGACTCAAGTAGACGTTATCCGAGCTCCGCAATGATAAAATAAGGGCTCCATCAGAATGCTGTCCGAAGCCCATTATTTTGGGGATCCCTCCTGTTATCAGAGACCTTTTTACGCAAGCTCCGTAGGGGGTAGCTCAGAAAGCGAAGCTCGAGCCTTTACTTCCTTTGAGTGAGCAAACCAGGCTTCAGAATCAGCTTTCTTAGTCTTAGTTTCGGTGCAGTCAAGCAAGTGAGCGTCGGTAAATCTTAAACGTTTTCAGGTCAGCTTCTGAATCTGAATCAAGAAGAAGTTGAAAGCTACTTTAACACCTATGCAAATCAATCAAAACCATTTAAAACGAACTAAGAACAAGTTAAGCTATCCTTCAATTGATTTCAGGGTCTGGAATACAACCTCATTTAGTCCAGGGTTTTCTGGCCCAGCAGTGCCTCTGCCTTTAAAGTGCTCTTGGATACCGAAATGGCTCAACACAATTTCTTGAAGTCGATACGGTCTCATAAATGTTCAACGAGGATTTCTTGTTCAAGCCGCCCCTCCTTGACCTTGCAGTGCACCAGAAACAATGACACGGAGAAGTTCCAGAGATATCTTGGACAGCCAGCCCCCACTTCGCTTTGCTATTCACAACAAGCAGGGTCAGCGGCAAGTTCAGTCAAAGATTTCCGGAAAGCATCCCCTTCAGCTGCAATTTGCAAGAGACACCATGAACAATGAGGCACAGAAGCTCCAGAGAAATATGCTAACACCACCCCACTTGCCTTGCAATTGCAAGGAAACTCAAATCGTTCTCCAGTAACGAAGTTGACACAGCCTTGTTTCCGAAGCATGCAGTTTACGAGTTTACGAGTCCTGGCTTTTGAATCCTTGGTTTCCCAATCAAGCATTCCAATCCAGCTCACGAAGATTCGGAAGCAGTTTCTGAAGAATGCGCCGACCGATCTCGGAACACAGCCAAAGGGCGAAGGAAAAAACAACAACAAGTTAGTGCCTTAGTGCCAAGTTCAAAGGCTCTAGCCCAGGAAGAAGAGTCAAAAAAGGGCTTCATGAGCACCCTTTGAGCTTCAAAAAGCAGCGATGCGGGCTCCCAGAGGCATCGTGCAGGTGTCCTTTGTGTGTGGATGCTCTGGGAGAAGATGAGCTCAGAGGGGCTTCAGACCCTGCGCCCCAGGGCAGACAGCCCAAGGGCCTGCCGTGTCAGTGAGGGGTCAATCCTGACCCTAGCCCCTACAATCCAAACCCACCACCAATTTCTCTTTAGAACCATCTTCGGAAATCTGCCAGCCCTAGAACATCTGATTAGGCCCTTGGCGGGAGTGCTGGGGTGGTTCCCGTCTGGAGTGCACAGACAATCCGCACAAGAATCCTGGGTTTGACTTGGCTTGGTTTGAATGCACAAAGGCCCCCTGCTTGGAACCCGTTCCCCCTCCCTTGCTGCCTCCGCAACACAATTTGCTTTCGAGCATGGACGGGGGTGTAAGTATGCCAGCTTGAGGTGCAAGAGGTCTGAATTGTACACTTGGGGTTTGGGGTGCACATGAACATGTGGAAAAGACCTAGGATCAAGTATTCCAGACCTCCCGCAACAGGATCTGAATTGCCTGCTGGGGGCAGTGCCCGCTTCAGCTGTGGGTGTATTATGATTGGGGGACACGCGCAGTGCAAAACGGCTGCACTAAGACATCAAAGCTGTCATGCCTTGAGCATGCACACTCCGAGAAGCACATGCCCCCGCATGTGAACGTTAACATGGATAGCATGTGATGCTTGTAGGATAATGGTGTTGGGCATGCATGCTGGCGGGTTTGGATGCCATTACAGTTTTGGGGGCCTGGGTATGCTGGCAAATTGCAAGGCGCGGATGCTGTTGGCGATTCCACTTCTTGGAATGGGCACGATATGTTGAGCAGGAATGACACGCCAATGCTCGCGCCATGTCCCACGAAGGCCTGTCATCCCACGAAGGCCATATCGGAAGAGATCTGACGGCACCATGCTTTGTGCCCGGAGACCTTGCCTAGACGCCTAACTCAAATCTCAGATGAGATTAAATGCTACATAATGCTAGTCAATCCTCACCTTCCCTATACATCTAATGAAAATCAACCCATAACTCCCCGTAATTGCTCCTCTTGCGCAACAAAGCCTCCTCTCATGGCAATTTCCAGAAATTCAGTCCTCCCGAAAACATTCTAATTGCTCCATCTTGCTCTTGGGATTACTTAAATTATCACGCCGAATCAAAATCGATCGGCACTGATGGAACAACAACCACAGCCCCTTGCAAGTGAAGTAGACCAGACCATGAACCCATCGATCGTATTTGCAGGCCAGGTCGCCGAACAAACGACCAGAATCTAAGCTATGAATCCGTCGTAGCATACATCGACTGGTATTGTAAAAGGCTTGAGCAATGCTTTGCAGATGAAGGTTGCTACAATGCTCTAGCCTGAATTTGTCAGGCGGAATGTAAACGTTTTGGAGTCTGCTGGCGGCAGTGCTGGGGCGTCAAGTTGTACGACTCATCACTGTCCACCCATCCAAGGAGCTATTTGTTTAGCTTCTTCCAGTGTATGGACATGGTCGGGACGGCGTCCATGGTGTTCGACATCTCTTTTTTCTTGGGTGTTGACGTTGCTGAGCGCACCTCTGAGACACTACCCAGCAATGCCGCCTTGCGTCATCTCGCGAGAGATCGAAATCCCAAATGGCTTAGGCCGACGCTGCCGGATCAGGACACCGCACAGTCTCGTGTCATGCTGCTGCGAGCAAGCCGTGCTGCACGGGTTGGAGCCCGTGGCTTTTCTGCATTCAAGGGGCATTGGACTCATTGAACTATGACTATGACTTCTGAGCTTGAAGTGAGGTGCTGGCAGATTGACAAGAATACTGCGGCTGTGTCGCTGCTTAATTGACTTAGACGACAGCGACGATTCGTTCGCAAAACGTAGCAGCAGAAAGACTGAGCTCGAGCCTATGAGGGACGAGGCCGCAGTTCAATGAACTCAGCCCTGTGAGCCCCGTGTCTCAGCATGTGTGAAGTATGTGTCAGTGCATGCAGGCACAGAGTTCGAAACGCAACATTGCGACGCTCGGCAAATTTTGGCAAAGCTGGGCCGTTGTCTCGGGGATAGAGACTCTTGCACAGATGCCAGTGTTTTCTCGAAGACATCACGATCTGAATGCCTGGCAGATGGAGGGCAAATGGTGAGGGGTACTAAAGGTCGCTATAGGACATGTGTATAGCTTTTGACGCTGAATGGCTGTAGACCGGTCGTGGTGGTCTGGGATGCATTTTTGCTGAGAGCTCGGTGACGTGTCACCAGCAACATCTCTGGCAACAGGAATTTCGCTGCACTTGTCATGTTACGTGATAAATCTGGATGCAATCGAAGCTAATTATGACATCCTCGAGAAAACAATATTTGGAAAATGTTTCAAAGAGCTTTCCAAAAGCTGCACCAAATTTTCTGTTTATTCTGACCTCCACCTTTATTTCGTTTCTTGTGTGTGAGGCAGGCTAGACTGCTGCGATTTAGGACATGCAGCTTTGAACTCCAGCCAGGCAAAAGCATGGGTTTGAGATGCCACAAGTGGGCGGGTCAGAAGGTGTTGGGGGTCCATGTGTTGAAGCTCCGGCTTGAAGGTATGCCTGGATGCGCCGGATCCGTTTTTCCATGGAAAGACTTGTCACAAGCTTCGCAATTTTAAAACAAAAAAAACCTGCTTCGTGCACTTGTCCTGCAACCTAGGAAGGTCATCTCCGTCAGGCTGGGGAATCTTCTAGCCACCAGGGTTGCTTGCCTCACAATCTTCCTGGCAATGGCAGACACCTCAGTGTTGCGGACCCATGCGACTTCAACCCGAGTCCCCGATGCAGCCTTCAGGTGATGCCCTTATTCGATGTCATGGCATTCCCTCAGAAGGCCTGCAGTGTGCAGGCTTTCATACCAGAGTTTGGTGTGAGATGTGCCAACTATTGTCTACGTATACTTCCTCGTTTTGCTTGAGCTTAGATTTTTTCCATGGGGCTACACAGCTTAAGGGCTGAAAGCATAAGGTATGCCGGGTGCTGATGACGAGAGCTTCATGTCTCGGATGCCATCCTAGAGCATATCGTAAAGCTGCAGCGCTTTGGTACGTAAGACGTGCACTGACATGAGTTGCTCCTTGGGAACTCTACGCCACCGCTAGGCCATGGCATGGTTTAAGGGAATCCTGCCTCAAAGCCTGCCCAAACCGAGACGCCACACAGTGACAGCAATGATGCAGCCAGGACTTGTCTTTGGACGCTTGGGTCGAACAGGACCGCCGACTTCAACGCACTCCAACACCCAATTCATGTCTGAATTGAGTTTGCGCTGTGCAGACAGGTGTCCTACATAAACCACCATGATGAGTCCGCAACCATGGGTGAGTTGCGACCTCAGAGTTGCAGAGAGAAAGAAGGCTCTTCATATTCCAACCCAAGGTTGCACAAGATGTCAAAGTTCTTCTCTCATCACAGACCGGGCCTTGTCCAATAATTCGCGCACACCCACCTTCGCCCTGTGCGCGCCAACAGGCTATGGGCCATTTGCAGCTTGCAGGGGACATTCGCTAGAACATGCTGGGAATTTCATCTGCGACAAGTGGTACAAGGATCCCAAAAACCGATTCTGGTGGCTTGACTGGCTCGTCTCAGTGGCCAGGACTGGGGTCAGGTGAATGGAGCACCTGCTCGAAACGCATCTGCCTGGGTGGTTCGCACGGAGACGTTCCAGGTTGTGTTTGACATGAGCAGGCAGTTTTTTCGGTTTTGCATTTTACGCTTCAATTCAGGAATGCTTTGGCAACCCTGAAGGCCTGTGAAAGTTAAAGCAGCCGTGGCCCTCCTTAGCATGTCCTTCACCGTCTGAAGCCTGGCACACTGACCAGCTTTATGAGTGTTGCAGCCATTTCTTCCTTGAGGTGTGTATTATGCTATGCTTCTCTATAGCGCTCTCATCAGTGGTTACCGATTTGGCTGTCACCCCTCTGGAGCGCATGCTCGGGACTGCCCGCGTGCCTGCAGTATGTCAAGGTAAGACACTTGAACGTGCTTCCTTGCGAGGACTGTGCGGGAGATCGCTGCCACAGTGTTTCGGTTCAGTCGCTTGCTTTGACCTCTGCCGCTGAACTTTATCAACATGTGCTGCGGCTCGAAAGCTTTGACGTGCAGCGCATCTGAGGTTCCATTATGATTGGTCCGCAGGATGATCATGAGGAGTCTGAGACTACTGATATTGACAACGCTGGTGAGATGATCTTACTGGAAAAGGTGGGAGTTATGATGAGAGCAGGGCAACGCCACAGAGTGTACAGTAAGCCTCTCCTGCCGCCTCTTTCGGCTCAAGATGCCAGATGTGGCTTAAGATAGCCTGAGATGGCGGGCCTCAGCCGAAAACAGGCACTGGAGACCAAGCTACTGCAGATCCAGGAGTGACTTGCAACTCTTAATGCCTTTCAGTGCCATCCCTCCCGATGTAGCTCCCCTTGTATTCTGAAGCCGAGCTGCGAGCCACAGATGCTACAGCTTCAGGATTCATGTTTGTATTTACAATTTGTCGAGGGTGTACCAATACATGTTTGCGCTGTACTGGCAGCAGAGCAGAATTATACAGAGAAAGTCAGCAACAATAGTTGCTGATTTGCAACTTCCCAGGAGCTGAAACAAGAGGTTTCTTTACCAGAAGAAGCTGCAAACTCTGCATGCTTTCCACGTGCCAGTGGGCTTTCCAACCAATGCCGTGTCACTTTTGAAGATGGACGTGAGATAGACGTCATTGTGGGCACGTCGGAGCACATCCAGAAAGCCACGGTCGAGAAGATCTGTCACATCGTGGATGCTGCATATTCGCAAGTGAAGAAGCACAAACGACTCGATCAGTATGATGCTATCGAACGCCGCTCAGCTTGCCACAAACAAGTGAGTCAGCGTAGCCTAGCAGCTCGGTATGCAGCAATTACAGTTGCTCGATTAGCATCAGAGCTCACAGGTGCCCGTAGGATGAGGTCAGAATGACAGGCGGGGAGCATATACATAAATCCGGCCCTGCCGCCGTGGTCCAGGGCGGAGCCCGTGTCTAGAGTTTTAGCTCTATACAGGAGGTGGCGCCCTCGACTCCATGAGGGGTCATTGTGTACAGGTGCGGCCAAAAATGGAGAAACGGATCCCCAATGATGCTGATGATGCTGGCAGCATCATCAGTCATCAGCATCATTGGGGATCCGTTTCTCCTTTTCCATGCTTCTAGGCTGCCCGTGTAACGTGGGCCAGGCCTGATGGGGTCCAGGAGGGTTGGATGCTGGAACCACGGAAGCTAGCATGAGTTTGTCAGAGTTCTATGATGGGTTTGCAGGGTTTACCATGGAAATATTATACAGAACTGTTGATAAGAGGGGTGATGGGTTCCAGGGTTTATGATGGATCTGTACAGGTTTCCTGCGTGTGGGGTTTCAGGTCTAGCCTGCGTGCCAGCTTCATGAGGATTACAAGATTGTTTTGCGGGCTTTTCTTCATACCTGTACACGGTACACGGGCTTTTTATGGTGGATTATGGTGGTGCGGATGAATTTGCTGGGTTAGTGTTGCTTGAAAAGCGGCTTTGCGGGGCAGATGGCGTTTTCAGCGGCTGGAACAGCTCAACAACATGTGCGAGTGACCGAAAGAGCACTCGCGTAGCCAAATGAACCCCAATTATGCTGATGATGCTTGCGTACGAGTCGCGCGCCATACACGAGCATCATCAGCACCATTGGGGGTCCGTTTTGCCACCCTAAAAGCAGTTTCAGTTCTGCCCGTGCCTTTTTAAGCTTCCCCCCGCACGGAGGGACTTCTGAACGATTTTTTGGGGTTCCTCAGACCCACCACAAAACAAATCATGAGCACGGATTCTAGACCCAAGGCTTGCCCAAGGAGCCTGGGCCAAGAAGAGTTTGGACTGAAGGACAGGCCCAGGGGCACAGGGGGGCCAGCAAATGGAGAGTAGGCCCCCAATGATGCTGATGATGCAGCATCATCAGCATTGCCAGAGGTCCGTTTTTCTTCTCCAGGCCCTACCATGCTGCTGTCATTCACCACTACTATTCCGACCATTTCTACTTCTACTATGATGTACTTCTACTATGATGTACTTCTTGTCCTGTTCGCTACTGCACCTGTTGCCTTGTCAGTTGCTGTGCCTGTTAATGTTGTTATTGCTGTCTCTTGCTGTTGGCTACAAAGACGGCAGGGCCGGCCCCTGCCGCTAGGCTTAAGATGCAAACTCTGCTAAAGTAGATTCCAGCAAGTCTCGAATTTTCAGGTTTGGAGATGGGCGACGCCGGTCCTTCGGCAAATCGAGTGTTGCATCTGGCTTTCAAGAAAGATGAGCTGGTTGGATGTGCGAGCTCGACATTCAGTCCTGGTTGGACGCCTGATGGTTGTGGGCACTGGGGGCTTCTAGCAGTTGCTTGCCTTGTGTTTTGGGCATGTTTGTCATGAGCGTTATCACATTAATCGACGCAGGCGCGCGCCGCATGGGCCAAAGGGCGGGAGGGTGAAGGCAAGTGCATTGAAGGTGCCAGGTTTCCATTTTGGAGCCGAGACCCAGGCTGGGGTGGCAGGCTGAGGCGGCATCGGCTGGGTCCTTGCTGCCGCCACAACAAGTGCGCGCAATGGGGGGCACGGTACTGGGTTAAATGGACTTTGAGGGGTCCAGCGGATTTTTGCAGATTCTTGATTGCACGGCGAGACCTGTAACGTGAGGTTTTTCGTCCAAACCGCTGCAAGTGAGCAGGTGCCAGCTTCCGATGCAAGCACTTTTGGCTTGCCTTCAGTCAGAACACAAATCCGTCCGTGTTGCTCTTGCTGTTGAGATTTTTCCAATCCTCCAGATCCATCATTTGGCATCTTGCTCAGTCACACTTGGCATTGTCACGCGCCACAGTTTATGTCCCTCAGTCTTCTGACCAACCAGCATCCGCAGGTTGATCCAGAACATCAGAACACAGGCGTTGCTACGGCCCTTGTTGTTGCAGCAGAACGTCGCCTCGCCACGGTGTGCGCTGGCATTCAAATCGAGTACCAGTACACAGAAGGTGATGATTTTTCGCGCAGGCTCGAACAATTGATGCCTGACACCACCTATGGTTGGATGTGAAATCTTGTGACATACTGGACACATGGCATAGGAACTTTTGTCGGCGAGCTAGTATACTTGCACGCGCTAGCAGCTGCTCAGGAACCTGCTTACGTAACTCGCAATTGGCCAGTCTGAAGCCTAAATGACTTGCCACTCTTCATCCTTAAATTATTGTACGTGTTTCTACTTCTTGGGGCAGTGTAGCAGGCCAATACACCTCACCATCCACAGCACCTTACAGTAGCTGTCAGTAGCTCACTTTCTGACTGCTGCGTCACCTGCTTTTCTTCTTGGTTGCTTTGGCATATCTCTAATGCAAGCATTGCTTCCCGCAGCTGCCTGTGCATGGAGTGCTTGGCATGCTCATGAGTGGCAGGCTGAAGGAGTGGTATGAGGGGAAGCTGAATTTTCAGGGAGCTCATCACGACTTGCAGCCTGGGCAAACAATTTTCAGACGATGCCGGAAGAGCGCAGACCTCAGTGATGGCTTTCACAGCCGTTTTGATGCACTGCTTGGCACTGCCTGAATGTCTCGTGAAGAGCAAGGCATCCCGGCAACATCCCAGCAAGCTGGCCATCTTCGCCGTCTCCAGGACAAGCGGAATTCTTAGAGTACTCGACGAGTCACAACACGACATAGCCCACTACAGGAGATAGAAAAGTGGTTGGAACTTCAGCTAGAGGAGCTGAATTCCAAGGCTGGGCACAGAGGCATGCAAGCTACCATCACCGCTTTTTGCTATCACGGCGTAGGAAAGTCCACCAGAGCATGCTGAAGGTGGGAGCTGCTGTTGTTCTGCCTTTGGTCAACTTGCTTGGTCTGTCTTGGTCTCATGCCCCTTGCAGGTGCAACATCCCGTGGTTATCCACTCACAGCTTGAGCTGACCAAATCTTGGGCTTTGCTGAGTGACAGCGGCGGTCACAGGGGTGCTTTGTGCTCTCTTCCTTTCTCCTGTGCGCTGCATAAAGCAGGGCCGAAAGATGCACTGGGGGCAAGCTCTTGTCATGTCTAATGCCATGCGCTGAAATGCACGACCTAATAGCTTGGCCTCATGAAGCACTGAGCCACCACAGATTGATCGTGCAGATTCCAATCGGTGTCCTTGTCGCGTTCGAACATGTGTGGAAAAAGCGCCAAGGCTGTGAGCAGCTTACTGTACCAGATCTTCAGGAAACGTAGATAACACACAGGGAGCAGGGTATGCAGAGCTTTTCTGCGAGGCCAGGCTTGTGTCAGGGCAGGGCTTTGAAGAGTCGTGGCGCACGTAACAGTGCATCAAGCGCCATAGCTACGAGTTGCGGCTTCATAGCGTAACATACAACATGGTCATGTTAAAATGCACAGGAGGCTTCGGTACCGCTTCCACCATGCGCTTGACAGAACCAGTACGCTTTTGTCGGCAGTGTCCTGTTGAGTTTCCACGTTAATTGCAGGATGTTGAAAACAATGTGGGCAGGTGGTCGAGAAGCTGTCGGCAATTGCGGCAGTGCATGCTAGCACTGAGCAGGTGTTGGACACGGAGGCTGGGCATACATCTTTGTAATAATGGCCCGTGTTTCCTGAACTGGGCTTGCAGAGCTGTGTCTTGGGAGGACATGGATGAGGAAGATCTTGGTATCCTCAGCATGCTCCACGGCGAACATGCGGGCAGAGCGAGTCTGCGAAGCCTCCCCCAGCTGGATAAGGAGCACTCAGCTAGTCTTCAGCTGCATCAGAGAAACTCCACTCAAACCTGATCCTGGAACGTGAAGAACTCGACTTTGACATGTGTCCGTGTCAACTCAGCCCAGAACCTCCACAAATCCGACCAACGTGTGGCTGCCTGGGCAATGACCCTCCACAAGCAATAGGTTTCCCAATGTTTTGGACTAGGCGGCCACATAAATGCAAGAGCTGGTTTATAATCTCAACCTATCCGCACATCTGGCGGCGCCAGCGCGATGCACAAGCCGTGCTCAATCACTCATGCTTCGCGGAGGCGGCGCAGACGTATTGCCGGGCAAGCTGAAAAGAAGTCCCATTCATCGACGTGCAACAAAAATCGAACGCATGTGACGTTTCCAAAAGAGGTTATGTGCTTGACTGCTCAAGTACAGAATCTTTAAAGTCCTCTAAGCCATGCTCCATCTTGCAGAGTGCCTGCACTCAGCCGTTAGGCACCCCCAGAACCGCTTTCAGGTCTCATTAAGCTTGTATAGAGCGTGTAGAGTCCTTCAAAGCCGTTATGGGTCGAGTGAAGCCCTGATCAAGCCTTAAGCCTGAGCCCCTTAGAACTCATCAAAAAAAGAGATTGAGCCCCTCAACGTCTTCTTTGGAAAAAAGATCAAAGAGCACCAAAAAATATAGTTGAGGCGCTCGATCTTAGAAGTTTGACAAGTTAAGGCAGTTAAGGGTTTCGACTTTCATTTTGGGGATTTTCGGCCTGTGTTTTTTTCCGTTCAAAAATTGCCGAATCAAGAAACTAAGGGGGCTGGTTTTGGCATCAAAGCTGTTCATGCTTCAAGACAGCCGTAGCTCAGTGGGCAAGCGCAGGGTAAGTCGCCAAAAGCCATGGGCTCAGCTTTCCTGGTGTCTTTTCATGCGTCGCGCCTTGAATACCAAATCCACCGTCAATTTCTTGTTTCGAATTTTTGTTGGAGCGGAAAAACAAGCGAAGAAAACTGGAGAAGAGCAAAACGAGAAATTCGTTCGCCGAGGTCATGGTACCCTGGATTTCTTGTTTTCAATTTGCGCATGTGTTCTTTTTTTTTGCGGCCCCACTGCCCGAGGAGCTCAATTTCTTAACCTAATGGTTTCTTAAACATTGCTGTCACTGTATATATGAACTCAAAGAATTCCGAGACTAGTGCAGAGAGCCAAACGTGAGACGCCCAAGAGCAGGCGCCCCTAGCATCAGGGCCGGATTATGCAGTATTTCCCGGCGATGGGTCCCTCTGGCAGCGCCTTTTCGGGTGAAGGGAAGGTGCGCGGCAGCCCATTTGCAAAATTGATTGGACAAAAACACTGGTGCATTTTGTGAGGACTCCTCTGGGAACACCCGCCGGGAGGCCAGAAACGTGTGGTTTTTTTTCCTCAACCTCACTTTCTTGACCCCATCCTCCAGCGCCTGATCTTGGGGGATCTTGGGGGTTTGGAAAACTCCAAACGGGGCTTGCAAATGGGATCATCGTCATATCACATCGAACTTGGGGGTCCTTGTTTAGGGGCTCCAAACGGGAGTTTCTTGCGTAGCTGCGTTCCATAAGGTTTCCATGTAATTCAATTTCCTGAGATAGGCGCAGCTTTTGCTGTGAAATGTAAGGGGTGTGAGCAACGAAGCTGAACCCGTAAGCTTAAATAACCACACCACTGAGCAAAGCCCAATTACACGCACTAATGGTATTTGGGTCTACGGCTAATAATAGGCAACTATCGAAAGTTGGCACGAATAGCAGTCACAGGACAGAAGTGACCAAAATTCCGGTCACTGGGCTGGCATCGGTGGGCTTCAGCACAAGAGACAGCGCAAAGTGGCGTAAAAAACACGTGAAGTGGTGTAAACAACCGTAAAGTGACGTAAAAAAACCTTGGGAATTCGATGCCAAAAGGGGGAGGGGGGGGGGGCGGTGTAACTAGTAACTTGTCAATGATGGGTTTCGAGTTTCTACCCAAAAACATGCCACTTTGATTAGTTGCTATTAAGAAGTGCGCACTAGGCTTGCAAGGTAGGGCTTTGGGCGTTTTCAGGGTTTTGGGTTGTTGTGGTGGGAGTTTATAGGGTTTGGGTCAGAGTTTAGGATGTTTAGGGTCGCCCAGACCCCTAGGTTTCCGCGATTTCCAGAAATCAAGGCCAAGGTCAGGGTTTAAGGGTTTAGGGATTTTAGGTTGTCGGGATTTTACGGCTTAGGGCATTTAGCGTTTTTAGGGTATTTCTGGTGCTCGAATCCTTTTGTTTTCGGTAACGTTCCCGGGACAGAGTGCAAAACAAAACCTTGGTGCGCGAATCCTTTTTTTGGCGCGCAAATCGCCAGGCCTGTGCGCGAATCGGTTCTTTTGGTACGCGAATCCGCCGACGGCAGGGCGCGAATCCCAAATCAATGCTGGTGCTCGAATCCTTCTGTTTGGTGCGCGAATCGGCTCTCTTGGTGCACGAATCCGTTTTGAACCGGCTGAACCCCCCTTACCCCTCTCCGTCGTACCTCAGCAAACCTCTTCATTGTGCCTTTTGCGGGCCCCTCGCAATCTATGATGAAAGTGGGGCCTTCTGTTTAGGCTCACCCTTCCTCTCTCTTTGGTCACGATCCTTCATCAGCCATTCCTGATCTGTCGATGCTCATCAGCCCACTGTTGGCCACCAACTCTGAGCATGCTTCTGTGTGGAAATCAGGGGGCAACCGTTCAGAGTCGAGCCTTCCGGTGCACACATCATTTTCATGTTTGGTTGAACTGGTGTTGAACTACCGCTAGCATGCTCGGTTTTATGATACGTGCGTCAGGCATTCCTTTCTAGTCGTTCAGATTTCGTTGGCAGACACAGAATGCGGGCAGAGGCTTCCGAAAAAAATGCGTTCGGTGCTTGCATGATTTTGCATGTGCTTACGCAGGACAGATCGCAGAGCCGTATTCTGAGGCGCAACACTTCTGAACACTTCTGAGCCAAGCGAGTGTTGTGATGGCGCTACGCCTGTTGATGCACTTCTTTGGGGTGCCAGGATAACCCCGGACTTCAGCCAAGACGTCCACGGGGTTGATGAAGAGACTTACAACAGTCTGAGATTCAATGTGCATCTCGTCAGAAGATTGGCGCATTACCGCATGAGCTACTCATCACATTGAACATGCAAGGCTGGACCTCGCGCCGTTCCAGCTCAACAAGATAACCTTTCATGTCATGTTCTCCCATGCATCCAGCGCACCACCAAGCTATACACCTCGGACTGCTAGGGTGTCCAGTGTTTTGTGGGCGCGATGCAAGGCTCATGATGTTGACAGGTGCTGCTATTTTCTCGGGTGCTGACGGAGAAGAAGCGCTTCTCCAAACATTCGTGTCCGCCGTGCACAAGGCAGCAGCGCAGTGAGCCATCTATATCGTGTCTGTGCTGCAAATTCTCATTGTGAAGTTATGGTCAGGGCTATCCCGAGAATCCTTTCCACAATTTCGCCCATGCCGTGGACGTGCAAACCACGATTGTCACTTGCATGAAGCACACCGAGCTCTGGGCGTGTTTAGGGTCGAGGTCTTCCAAAGCTGTAGAATAGGATGAGCATGTTTGGGCACAAAGAGTAAATCACCTATTGGCACGCGTTTTCAGCATTTTGCCGCGGGCAACGGGTATGACCGAATTTTGCAGAAAATGTGTCACAGCTTTCTTGTAGCATCCCATAAGGCCGAGTCCGCTGCAAACCTGTTTGATCCCAAGGCGATGAACGCATAGACCTTCTCGTGAAATTTCGAATTTCGAGAAGTTAAAGCATAGAGGCCTTTTGCTGCTCAAGCAATTTGGTGCCTGCAGCACATTCTGGACTTGCGTATGCGCTGCGGGCATGCCATCAGCAGAATCATCTTGCACTCCTCGTCTCAATGAGCCTTGCAAAGCCTCCTTGCGCACCAAACGCGTTTACATAAGGCACCATTGAGGGAATGGGCGACGCTACTTCACCGTTTGTTGTCCAATCGATGCCACCCTTAGAGAAATGGCCGTGCATTCAAGCATGACTCCGACGGCTCGACTCCTAAGTCCAAGTAAGATGCATATTATGGTCAGCACATAGGATGGAACGCTTCGTGTGCTGTTAGGTTCGTTAAGTGGGACCGCAAATTAACTCCCAGTATCAGATTTGAGTAAGGATAGGCCGGCAACTGCATAACCATCTCCATTTCTTGGAAACACGAATAACGAGAGGAACAAGAGAGATGATAGTCAAGAAAGCACATCTTCGCTGCCTCTCAAGTCTAGGGGCGCTGTGCACGTTGGCATCAGCCTACAATTGTGAGAGCTGGAATATTTTGGATTGCCCATTCAGTGCTAGTGCTCGGAGCTTGCGCCCCATTTCCTTCAGGCACGTTCCCATAGCCCGAATCCTTACCGCCCTCTGACTTAAATAGGTGTCGCAGTTTGTGGCGAAACGTTGAAGTCATCGGAAGTATTGGTGAGGAGACTGCCTGAAGAGGAATTTGCTGACGACTGGAGGAGACACTGCAGACAATATGTTCGACAGAAGTTGCTGCAGTGGATTGCAATCTTGCAGTTTCTTCTCTCTCTTGCTATTGAGTCTTTCATTCAATCAAATCAATCCTTGTGTGCGGTTGGAAGGTCTGCTCGAGATACTGACTGGTCAAGAGAGAACCTTTGAACATTCTGCCGGCCATGCGCGCGAGACCAACCGCATAACCAAAACACACACCGTCGCTGGTGCCTGCGTGAAGAATTGCACCAACTGTTGTGATCACGGTGCAACGTCAATTCCACGCAGCGCTAATGTCAGGTCTCGTCGGTGAAAGCGATGCTACCTTCATTTTCCAGTTCACTGCGGGCTGTCTGTGCACACAACTTCTGAACTACTAAAAAAGGTTTTCGGCTGCGGTGAAGGCACAGAACTTGTGCTCCAGGCGGCCTCTGAACAATAAATATCTCATCGCTGGGCAGCACTTCATGCAGCATGCGTCCTTCCAGCGATGACTTTCCAAAGTCGTCGCTGGCATCTACGGGAGAGAAACTTCCTGCAGTCATGATTGGAGACCTTACTGCGCGCAATCCTCTTTGCTTACGGCAATGAAATGCCAGAGTCATCACCAGTCAACGCCCTAACTACCGAAACGCTGCCTGAGCGATGAGAAAAGAGGGTCCTGGGCTCGACAATACACCAGTGAGGCAGTGGACCTGCGTTTCTCAAAAGCTTTCCACCTGTGCCGACAAAGCATCACGTCAAGAGGTGCCTCCAGGGGCACTCAAGCATTGTCATCAAACTGCATTTTTGTTGGATGTTTTCCCCTGTCAGGAACCAAGCGTCGCCGTAGGATCCTCATGACAACATGACCGCAAGATCAAAAGTAGGAAAATGTTCAAGCTTTTCGACGCTAAGCCACAAGACATCTTTTCCAGCGTTCTCTGTTGTGACGCAGCTTGCATGACAGACTGAACTAGCAAAATCTTCACAACACCGCCATAAGCCTTAAGGCCCGAATCCAGACACGTGTAGCGCAAGCACAGTGATTTCCACTACTAGCGTATACTAGCTCTAGCATGATGTACTACGTAGTGCCGAGACGCTGCAAAACGATAAAGAGGAAAAAACGATAATGTCGTACAGGGATCATGAAGTTACTTAGGGGTTTTCTTGCAACCCCAAGTGGCATTCGGTCTGCAGCTCAGGTAAAGATGTTAAAGCTGACAGAGGCAGAAGATTTCCTGAGCCCATGATCCGCAAAATGGTTGTGTGCTGGCAGAGGTCAACAACTGATGTGTTTGAGTGTTGCCTCTTGATCTGAGGCCATCTGGAACAGTCGTCACCTTAGACGGTGCATGTTGCTGTTTGGCAAGCCCAAATGTATGGCAGCAGCGATGCTCTACACGAAATTTGTTTCGGTCAGCCATGGCGAATTCCTTTGTCGTCTGCAACACACGTGGTTCACAACAGTTGACTAGATTCATCTAGATTTCATCCGTCCATCTCGTTGTCTGAATCTCATTACATTCGTACAGGCGTATATTATATGTGTATATATATATATGTATGTACCCACACCTTCACGAAGGCTAGCGTAACTTAGCTCGAGCTGTCTCTTGCTTTAGCAGTAGTACTTGTAGGGGCTGTTGATTCTATCGGGGAGATTGAGATCACTTCTTTGACAGGAAGTGTGGCCTGAGGGGTGCCAGTGGATACAATTGTACATGTACTCGTATGTTCTTCATGGTCTGGTTGATTTGCTTGGTGTTTTGGTCAGGCCTCTCGACTCTCTCGGCCCCCCGTGGTCAAGGTACATCATGGCTAGAAGTTGCATCAAACATTCCTACTCCTTATCATCTTGTGTAGTGTTCATACCTCTGCATGGTCATGGTACGAATAACATCATGCCTGGTGGTTGCATCAAACCTCCCCAATTACTCCGGCAGTCTTTACTAGCCTTGAATGGTCATGATACTAGTAACATGTGTGGAAGTTTCATTAAACCTTCCTACTCATTCTGTAGCGTTCACTGCCCCGGCATAGCCGTTGTACCTGCTGCATGTACCCCGGCTCCTTCTGTGGAGTTTACTGCCCTTGCCTTGCTCGGTCATGTTGCGACTAACGTCATGTTTGGTGGCTTCATGAATGTTCTGTTTGTACTCAAGTGCTGAAGACCTGGCTAGCTTTCGTTGGCCTTGAGCCTTATGTGGGTATACTTAGAGCTCTCTCTCTCTCTATCTCTCTCTCTCACTGTCTGAGTTTGTGCTGCATGACCAGCTGAACATGGTCTTCCGACGTGAAGCCCGGCCCCATCCTGTCCTCGATTGTTGTGTGGCATAGCATTGGTATAATGTGTTTGTTTTGCTGGCGCCTTTGGTTGTCGTGTTCGATTTAGAAACATCTTGTCTCAACGCTGTCTTCCTCTACTGTATTGCATGCTTGTCATCCTCCTGGATTATCATACATTGTCAGAAGATGGCCGCGACTTGACCATTGTCACTGCCATTGTCAATTGTCATGGCCACTTCAATGGAGAGTCAGCCGCTCTGACCTCACTTTTGTTGTTGTCCTGGTCCTAGCCTTCGTTGCCATCCGCGTTTCCACCTTTATTGCGTCCATGTTCATTGTCGTTTTCAGATCAAGATCATCGCTTGCCTTTCCAGGCTGGACCTCACGAGGAGAGGATTTTGGGAGCTGTCCCCTGGGTCCCCTTTCGCTAGAGGACACGTTCACGAGTATAAATGGATGCCTTCTGATGCTCAAAATGCTGGCTCCAGGGAGGACTGTCAGGCATCTTTTCGGCATCAGCAGGGACATGCAGGGACAGATTCAGAAGCTTGAGAATTCAAGCCACAGCTTGCCTGATGCGGGCGCACCTGGCACCTGAATCCTTTTACAAGGAGTCTTCACCAGCGTCCGTCCTAAATCGTTCTAATGTGACAAGTGAAGGGTTGATAGGGGCGCTGAGGTTCTCTGCCAGAGGCTGACTAAATCGGTTGTAAGGGAGAACTGCCAAGATGTTCAGAAGCCAAGGTGCTCCCTATTGGTTGCAGGGCTTGGGCATGACCTCGGACATCCCGGCCTCAACAATGGCTTTCTTTCGGAGGCAGAAAGCATTGCTCTTGACATTGTACTTCCTCTTGGCTTGATTGAAGGTGGGCCACGAGCTTGCAATCAAGTACAATGATCGATCACCTTTAGAGAACATGCGTCAACCTAAGCGAAAGTGCACCGGCTCAATATCTGTTGCTTCCTCAGCCCACATTGAGCTTCCAAGGCACTGTGCCGTACTGTATCAGCTCCTGGCGAGACCGGAAACAGAGCTCTTTGGCTCTTTGAGCGACGAAGATTATAAGGAGGCGCTGAATGCATTGCTTGACAGGTTCAGACCCAATGCCAGTGTAACTTTTCACTTGACATCTCAGAAGGGTTTGGGCTGCCCCAAAATGCGCTGCAGCTACACAGGTTCGGCGCATCTGCGTAGAGACCATCTTGCACACGGACATGGCATGTGGGGTAGCTCAGACTTTCCGGATCAGATCAGCTACAGGGATGTCTGAATGACATGTGGTAAACGTGTTTTGAGAACCGTGCGCGTAGTCTTGGCCAATTCCCCCCCAATGAGCTGTGTTTGCAATCTTGCAATCTTTTGCCTAACTGCGGGTCGAGGCCACCAGAACATGGTCAAAGATCTCAACCTCCTATACCAAATACATGACGAGGCCGACTAGTGCCAAGACTTGGTTGAGAGGCCGGGAGTAATTCAGCAGAAGTGATGGAAGGCCCTGCGGCAGTCAGCTGCTCCCCAGCCATCACGGGTCACCAGCAGACAAACAATTTCAAAACCCGGCCCAAAGCTCAAATTTCCTTCCAGATACAGAGTGGCTCTAATGATCTCTGATGGCCATGAATCCAGGAAGAAGGCGGAGGAGTATGTTGGAAGGTGCAACGGATCCTTCTCAGATCTTCGCAGCGCACATAACCAAGTCTTTGGTTTTCCATGTTCTGCAGTGAAATCCATGATCTGCCTGAGATGTACAGGCCAGAGCACAAAATGCTGGTGATGGAGTCACTGCTGCATTCGGCCGATGTGTGTGGCACTTAAATTTGAATTGAAGAATAAGCAATGTTGCAAAGTGGGAGTTCCCGTATTGTTTGGAGACGCTGTTCGCATAGACCTTCCAACACAGTGCCGGTTGCTGGCTGAAGCTCTGTAATGAAGAAAGATGAAGAACTTGGCCTGCCTATACGGATGCATGGTTTCAGTCAGGGCTACACAGAACATTTGCTTTGTGGCTAGGGCAGGAGCGGGGAAGCAGGTCCGCGAGTTTGGAAGTAATTTATGCAGAGCTGGGTTCAAGGGAAATCAACGTTCATCTCAGCGAAGCGACAAGACGTGCTTGCGACACGCAGCCCGGTGTTGTGTATTTCTACAGAGGAAATGAAACGGGAGAGGTCACTTGAGCGCCTGACTGCCGCACAAGGTTCTGCTTGCAGGATTTCCATGCTGGGGGCCTTCATGTCAAGACCATCAAGCATCCACATGTTTCTATGCATTGGTGCCCACAAGTTAAGAAAGGCACTGACGTACTGCTTGCTTAGGCCCCTACGCGTTTGTTATATTTTGTTATACACCATTCTGGCAGAGGTGTTGTTCAGCGCATGTTTTCTAGCCTTCTGGAAATTGCTGAAGCCCTTGTGTGGCTTGCACCAGGTCAAACCCAGCACGCGAGTGGCCCGTGTCGCGTATGTGGGCAGAGAAGTGTCTCGAAGAGTTTTTCGCTCAAGGTGATCAGGAGCCGCAGGGAGCGCCGGCATACTGTGTGTTAAGTCATTTCTTAATCCTTCCAGACAAGATGCAGAGCACCGTCACAACGGGCATGAGCACCTGAGTTGACCATATCGAAGGATCGTGAGCTTGTTTGTTTTTCTTGTTGTTGTGGTCGCCTGTCAGGATTACAGCGCAATGCTTTCTGCTTTTATGATGTTTGCTGTCTTTTTTCCGAGCGGTCTGCAATCCATCCGTGCCTAGTGCTTCCGCTTGTCAGCAGTCTCAATCTCATAGTCTGTGTCCTTGAGCTTCACTTAGCTTAACGGAGTCTGCAGTGTGTCCAGCTGCCTTTGAGCTTGCTGCTTTACACCTTTTCCGGCGCAATACTCTCCGCGAGCACAGCAGACTCCAAGCAAGAAGTCAGGCCTTGACATCCCTTGGATACATTGAGTCAGCAGATTCACCCGACAAACACATTGCACCCGAGGCTCTGCACCACTGTTAGTCCAAAACGCTACGTGATTGTAGACCAGTACGCTACTCGACGCTGTGAAAAGGGGAATTATGGGAAGAGGGCTTCGTGGACGGGCGGATGTGAGGATGGGGAGGGATGCAAGGTCACTGGTATTTGCAGTGTTTCTGAGCTGTCGGATGCGATCGACGGTTTCGATCAGGATAGAGGGGGTGCGCCGAAAGCTATGATTTGTACATGTAGCACTCGCTGCGTTTCGCAGTAGTACGATAGGCAGATTTCACTGGCATTTACGGTCCGCGTCGCGAGAGACAAAGCACGAGATTAGTGAGGGTGGTGGAGGGCTTTGTTCTCGTTTCTTGCAGAAAAGTGCATGTCGTGTGGATTGTTGAGCGCGCCGTTTCTGAAGGAAGCTTGAGACAGGCGCCGCTTAGGGGACAAGGTGCTGGTTCACGCAGCGTTTGTTTTTGGGAAGGTTTCCCAGAGCATCCATGCCCAAACCAGAATCACGTTGGTGTTCAAATGCATGGGAGTACCAGAGCATCCATGTCCAAAACCCTGACCACGTTCGTTTGTGAGTGCAGCCGATTTCGAAGATACTAACATTACTAACGTTCGCTCCCCCGCGCACCTATGCTGGCCACGATGCTAGCATTTGACCAGAGCTTTTGGTTCCCTCGAGCATACATGCTGTCCAAGAGAAAAACGTTCGTGCTACCAGAGCATATGGTTCCACCGAGCATCCGCTGACCGAGATTAGAATGTTTGTGTTGAGTTGCCAGAGCCTATGAATGGGTCCCCCAGGCATCCATGCGCCAAAGCATGCGGTTCGGCCGAGTAAGTGGCCGCGCTTCCATTTTGGGCAAGGTGATAATGTTCCTGCTGGCAAAATCATCACCTGCATCTTATCCGATAACGCCTTACATACCCGAAATCACATTCCCAGCGACGACATTTCTTCAAATCGACCCGCCCTTCACGGTGGTGAAAGGTGCGCTGCTCTAATGCTAGGTAGGTCAGGACCCATACTGATGATGCCCAATGCACATCCCAATGTCAACAGTCCAAGTCCGCGACAGATCCTTTGCTTGCAACTGAGACCAAAGCGCCTCCCCAGCACCAAGAGTGAGAATGGCGAAGCCCAAGTCTAACACTGACGCCTTATGAACATTAATTAGATTGTGGATGTGTGTGAATCTGCTAGCCGTCGAGCGTGATGGCAAGCAGCAACAGGTTTGTCTCACGTGGTTCATTCAGTGGTTTGTCGAGGCAGTGGAAGGCTCAAAAAGATTGAGGCTCGATCGTGTTCCTCAGCATGAGCATATACCTGCATCCGATTCAGACCAGAATAACAGACCAAGCAGGGGAAAACAACTATTCCACCCTCGGGCAGAATTTCTGCCTGCGAGCTGAAAGACTGAATTGGTGTTTTTTTTCAATGAGATGTAGCTTGAGCTGCATTCTCCTACGGGATGTTTAAACTCTTGAAATAGTCAGACTCAACAATAGTTTCTTGTAATGGCAGCAGCATGCTGAAGCTTCGCCGCCTGTCCAATGGGTTCGGAGAAGGAAAGAAGGCCCGCACAGGCAGTGATAGCATGAGTCAACAATCCTCCAACGACAAACTCCCAAGTCAGATTCTGAGCGGGCATCTTCAATCACAATACGATACGCTAAAGATTATCTGAACCTGCCAGACCCTGCTTGCTTGTAGGTTGGGATTACAAACTCTCGTATGGGATGGAGAGGGACGCTACAAAACAGCAGGTTGTGGTGGGTTATCAGAATCTGTAGTAATGGTATTGTTGGGGATTGTACAAAATTACAGACATCGCAAGAAAGCTTGTGCTGGTAGGTGTTGGCATTATGAAAGGCCCCAGCCGGCCTGCGATTTGAAATGCGAGCTTTGGAATGCTGTCCCAAATGATCCCAGCTGTAATTCGAAAAATCTTCGAAATTCTGGCTGAGTTGCTTCGTGACAAGGAATTTCATCAAAAATGCTCGGGCGTAAATCCCCGATAAACGGGCGTAACTCCCCGTGGGCTGTTACCGGGACCCTATCATCACCCTAATTCCCAGAAATTCTGACGTCTCTCCCCCTACAGTAGGAAGGTTTCTGCTGACCTTGCACGCCTACTTGCCTGAGGCAAAGGCGGTGTAAATCAGTAGCCATTAATGCGCTTTCCAATGCCACTTCGGCAGATGGATTATTTAGGGTTGTAGGGTCATGCGGTGCAAGGTTTATGGCTTGGGGTTTGGGACTTAATTTAAGGGTTAGGGCTTACAGGCTTGTAGGTTTAGGGTGTCAGACTTCGAGTTTAGGACCTAGGATTCAAGGCTTATGCAGTTTTACGTGCTCCGTTGACCGTTGGAGAGCAGGTTCCTGCCTTTTAAGTTGAAAGTTCCAGGTGTTTTGTGGTGCGTATTAAGTCGTTGTTTGGCAAGACATTATTTCTGCAACATAGAATGCTAGCCGACACCTCGGGCAGAATTCCCTGTGCAAAAGCAAGGTTTTATCTCGGGCTGAAATTCCTGCCTCGGGCTGAAATACTTCTCTAGGGTTTTTTTATACACTGAATAGCCTCGGGCTAAGATAAAAGACTGGAAAGGATCTAGGTATACATCAAGCCTGGTCCCTTGTGTGAGCAAGGGTTTATTCGTTTGAAAGTTCGCAGCAACACAAGCTGGAGCAACTCCTGACAACCATGCACCAAAACATCCCAAGTAACCTGCTGCTAATGATCGTTCTTCACATAGCAGGAGCGCAGCCGTGGCATTCCGGTGCAGTTCCTCAACGATAGGCAGAAGTGGCCTGGCGAAGAAGCAGGTGCCTGGTCCCTTGAGACTTTATAATAGCCAAAGCTGAGGTTGAATCGTCCAACATCGCAAATTGGCTTCATAGAGCTACCTTGCTGCATTTACCTATGGTCCTTTGTGATTGCAGGCTTGTAGCAGGCATTTCCTCGCCAAGCCAATAGCCTGTGCAACTCTCCTCCGAGAGCCGTCACCTCGCCAAAGACACAACCAGCCCAGATGGAACTGCTCTGACGAAGCAATGACTCACATGGCATGCCAGCGGAATAGCAAGCGAAGAGTTGTTGCAGACGCTCCATGCAACACCCGCCGGCTTTGGACCGGCGATCGCTTCATCACATCGGTTTGTCTTGTTTTGGTTGGTGTCAAGCGGCCGCCCCTCGCAGAGAAGAGCCCAGGGAATGCAGTGTGTACAGGTACATAGCCACGCACATGCTTCACTGCGGAGTTGGTACACAATGTACGGCTTGAGCCTGGTGCGGGACTTGTTTCTTGCAGCCGTCCCCATTCGTAACTGTCTACAGGAGACCATCCAAGACGGCGCAGATGATTGCATGGATTGCATCCCCCTACCGACATACATATGTGTACCAACTACTGCTGATGATGATGCCCATCGTGTCTGCATCTGGAAAATGTCCACTGCGCAGTGAAAGTGCACGCGTATAAACATGTGCGAATCATTGCAACTCCATCTGCAACAGCACCCTGCCAGCCCAAAGACACATACCTCATGCATGGAGGTAGCCTCGCCTGACCGACCACGAAGTCTATGCAAAGAATCGCCAGCCAAAATCCGACTTTGCAGCCAGCCCTGCCGCTCCCGAACCCTGTCCGTTCCCCTTATCTGGCTACCTTTATAGTCACGCAAACCTTTTGGGCGACTGCGACATGCATGCCCAATCTCAGATTATCCTATGCTGCGAAGTCAAAGGTCCTGCTCCTCCATGGTCCATGCTCCTTCAATGCCCTTTTTCTGGCTGGCCAACACGATCTCCCGCCCTGCCTGTCCCTGTTTGCGCCCACCTTCACTGCCCAGGCCATCCATGCCCCAGTGTCACGGCCCTCCACTGAGAGGTTAAACAAGAACCAGCACTTGAGAAGCTTTCGGGAAGAGGTAATGGTAGATATTGCTAACAGAAGCTGTAACAACAGATTCTAGAATCTGGTGGGCATTTGCACTCTAAGGTTCATGATTGCACCACTCTTCGCTGCGCAGATATGGCTCGCGCCTTCAGACAAACTTTGAAAGAGGCATGGGCCGGAAGCCAACAAGACGTCAGGCTTTGGCCGAATCTCTTCGAATATGGTTCCTGCTTGTCTATGAACATTGGCATGTGGCAGGAGACCTTCTGGGATTCTGTGGCATGTTTGTCTGCCTTCTTTGCAAGCAGGAGCTGTGGGAAGAAGAGGCAGACCCATCGGAAGATGAACTGGAGAAGGTGCTAGCCCGAATCTTTGGAGCAGAAGTATGGAGCAGAGCTAGCTTGCCGTTGTTTACCAGTGCTGTCAAAGGGCCTTGAAACTTGCTGGTCGCAAGACCCTTGCATGTGTGACATGAAGATGCTACTCCATTTTCACATTTTCGTGAAGTACTTGCCGCAGAGAGCGGAAGTGGGTCATTGACAAGAAAGAAGCGTGGATATTCAGCTAGTATCCACTGGAGCTTTCACTAAATAATAGCCATTCACAAATGACGATCTTGCGCTCCCTAAATCCCTCAGAGCAGGCTCTACTTCATTTCCTCCACAGTGAGTTAGTGCCACATGATGCGATGACCTGATGCTTGCGTCAGAGGGCTTGACTTGAAGTCTACAAGATGTATGTGGACGCGGGCTTCAGAACAGCTCTGAAACGTTCTGGGAAATGATATAAAAGGAGCTCGCAATTTCTATTGGCAGGTTCATGCAAAGCACTTGGATTGAAGAGTAGCAGTCCGGTAGTTGTTGGCGTGGCCGTTGGCCGTCAGCTTCGCTGTCAGTGACGGGACTATCAGAGAAGCAGCTACTGTAAAAAGATGCAAAGCGCAGTGAAATTTGGGAGTCACATGGTCAACCAAATGGAAAACACTTGAAGCCTTTGTTGTTGTTGCTGTTGCACGGAGGTACCATCCCCCCGCCCTGCGGTTGCTGCTTTTGCTACTGCTGCTGGCCTTGTTGTTGTGGTTAACGCTTGCTAGTTCCTGCTGGTGTTGGTGTTGTTCTTGGCTTTTTGTCGTAGACGTTTCTTGCTGTTATCCTTTCTGTTCGTATCGTTTGTTTGGTTGTGCTTGCTGAATTTTTGCTGCTATTGTTAGTTCTGCTGTTGCTAGGCGAGCTTCCTGGTGGTGCTCGTGTTGGTTGTGTTGTTGGTGGTAGGACGACGAGAGGAGCAGAGTTTGAATACCCAGTACCCCTCCGGCTCGAAGGCTTGCAGAAAAGGATCGCCTAAGGCATGTCATGTCTGCTCACGGCGCGTTAACTACTAAACAAGCCTGCCAGTGTGCAGCCCAACAGCATTGATGGACAAGGAAATTGCGTGTAGCAGGCGGCATCGCAGTGTGAAGGCTACAGCCTTCTAAGGCATTAACTGCCCGTGTGCACAGCTGCATCCAACTCGCCGCAACCGTGCTGCGCTTCACGAGACTATCATCCTCCACCACTGTAGCCGTCTTACGGAGAATAGGGTAGGAGAGCTTGGCAGTGCAGCTCACAGAAATTCATAATGATATGACTGATATGACGGCTGCTACCTGGAGCCAGACGTGTCACAACTTCTAGCGGTTTCATGTTGTTTGCTGTGCTTCAACTACCACTATGCGCTCATTTTTTAATTTCTAGCAAGCCCAATATTTCCTTGAGGCCCGCACGAAATTGCATGTGTGGTAAACCTTGCAGTCCAAATTACCTTGGGGGAGATTCTTGTGACTGTGAGGGCCAGAAATATTCGATTTTCTCATAATATGCATTGTGCAGCTTGGGCAACTTGAAATCAACAAGTTGAATTCGCCAATTTGTTTAATCCGAGCCTCTCAAATCTAGCCCATTGGTTCATTTTTGCCTTCTCATTCAATTTTTTCCCATTACATCTGAGTCCTAGCAGGACTGAGGTGTTCACAAGACAGCTTTCAAAGATAATATGGAACACCCAGCCCCAAAAGTGGCTTGATGGAATCATGTTGAAAGGTGCGGTACCTATTTGTTGTGGCTATCACAGCTGCAAAGCCAAGAATTTCCAACCAGAGCACAGTAGAATTTACAAGGCTGGACACAAGCAGCCTGGGTTTTTGTACGAAGGTCCTTGTCCGAAGCAGATGCTACCCCAAGGTCTTAAGTCTTAAGTAGTAACCGCTGCGGCTGTTTTCACCACCATGACTATCCTACCACTGCTGAAGCCACCGCCACCGCCACTAGTTCAACAGAAATGTGCCATCCCATTGCCTTTCCCACTGTTGGCAAAGTATTTGACATCTACTTGAACCACCGCGAAGCTGGTGACGGCGGCGATCGACAGCGACGGCGAACTTCGAACGTTAGAAGATGACGCGATTGTTCTGATCGCATTCCTGGTCTTCTCGATGCTTGCGCGGTCTTATCACTATCGGTCCTGCCGTCACGAGGTACTTTTATTTTGCTGGGTCATTCCACTTTTCCTTCTGTGGGTGTGCATGTTCCTGCCGCATTTTCTGAAGCTGTCTCCCGATTCTCCTTTTGCCCGCCTCTCGTTCTCTCTCTCATCAGCTGCCAGACCTGGATTGGGATCTGCGTAAATGAACGGGACAAATGTCCCCATCAGAAGATGCACAAAGGCGCAGTTGGATTTATATGTTGATTGTGGCACCTGCGCAAGTGGAATTGGCGCAATAAAAATGCTCTAATAACATCCTTGACCATGCGGTTCACCCTTGTTGTACAGACAATCATAGATCTACGACCTGGCCCGCGCAGGTGACATCCAGGGTGGACCAGGTGCAAGAGACATTGTCTTGCGCTGCCATGCGAATCGCATCCTGAACTTCCAGGCCAGTGTACAGTAGTTAATGACATTTGTGGTCGGTTGATGCAGCACCCTATCCCGTTGTGATATGTTCCCAAGTGATCCCATGCAGTCCAGCCGTGGAAGCAGCATTGACCGTCGCTCGAAGAGCCCTGTAGTTGTCGTTCGTGCAAAGCACTGCGCTCCAGAAGATGCCCAAAGCTTTGGCTGAGCTGCACGAGTTGCTGTGCGGTGAAAAAGTGCTCTGTGCTGTCATCATGATGACTCTGGGGGTGATGCTGACTGTCCTTGTGACAGGCATGTCTCAGGTTGGGAGTCCATTATACCCCCTTTGACCAATGCGGGAGGCGAATGTTCACAGGTTGGAAAAGCGTAGTGGTGTCCCTGAGAACCTGAGAACTGTTGAGCTTCGGTTTTTTATGCGCTTACTACATCACATTTACGCCCAGAAATAGGCCCGGGCTGGCGCACTCAACAGTGCACAAGGCAGCTTGCCAGCTTGCCCGGAAGGGTTTCCTCCGCAGAAGCTCCACAGAGGCTCAACTTTACGTGCACTTACTCAGCACGAAGATATGCGTTCGGCGAGTTTTCACGTTCCCAGCTTTCGCGGAAGCATTCTTTGTGCTGTAGCTGCCGAAGCGCTCGCGGAAGCACGAGACCGCGGAAGGTACTCGCGGGAGGGTTTCAAAACGTTGGGGCGCATTCCAAAAGTGAACAAGAAACGCCACATGCCGCACCTCGGAATGATGATACCGGAGCATCTCTATTCTTTTGCGTGACGGACTCAAAGCAGGGCTGCGGAAGGATGGATATACACATTCCAGCAATGGTGTGATAGCAGCTAGCAGCTAGCAAGAAAAGTTTACAGTCACTCAAGAAGGCTTGGCGAGCGGTGGCCACTTGAGAATAGAGACCCAAATGTGGCTCCTGTGCAGCCCGAGTTGTACTCGCTAAGCTGAGGATGGGCTTAAAGCAACAGCCATGCTTGTTCTCCGGCATGGGTAGGAAAGCAGAGAGCAATGACGGTGCATGCATAAGCAAGTAGCCAGTATGCCATGCAGCCTCTCCAGCAGCTGCAGCAGGAGCGTCATGGCAAGGCCTGTTAGAAGCTAAAGGTTTGGCACAACAGGGAAATGAAGTGTCAACTCGTGAGCTCTGTCAGATAGGCATTTGTCATCACTTGTCTGCTCTGAGCGATGAACCTGAGAACGTAAGTTGGACATGCCGTGCCCCTGCTTGAGAGGGATGTTTGTGCATGCCGTGCGGAGTAGTCAGTAGTCTTCGAGAGCACTTCGTTTTGAAGTCACCCCGGGCTTGTTTGCTCTCATGTGCGCATGTTTCAGGCCCTGTTGTAGCTTTGAGACTCGCGCTGTGAAATTGCATGCCCGGGTGCTTGCCTCCATCAGTACTGATCTTCCACCCAGAGGCCCCTGGAGAGTTCAGCTGGCGCCGCCATTCAAAGCAGGGGTAGGCTATAACTTGTCACTTGGGCTTTAAGGGCTTGGAGCAGGTCTTCCATGCGACTTAAATGCGACTCTTGTCCAAAAGATGGCTGCATGCAGTAGTGTGACTGGTTAACACCTCGGATTGTGCCGGAGGATGCTCTGAGCGTGTATCATGCCATCCAGCTGGAGTTGGCTAGTGATCGGCTTGACGTTAGCGACAAGTTGTGCTAGTAGCGCAACAGCGATAGTGCTTAAAGCAGTGCAGGTGGTGGAAATCCTACAGGCCAGCCCTGCTGTTTTGTGACTCTACTTAAGCGCTTGCGACAGCATGCAAGACTGAGTTTTGATATATGAGCGAGCCAGCCACTCTTCTTTCGCCCTGCCAGCTGCCATTCTCATACTCAAGCCGGGCCTAGACCCTGTCCCCGTTGGCCAAGGCGACGAATTCACCTGGTAAGGATCCATGCATCTGCGGAGCCTGACATAGCACTCAGTGCTGCTAGTGTCTGCAACATCCGCGCTAATCTGTGGAGAAGCGATGGCATGAAGCTGATGCCTAGCCGACAAAAGCTCGCATGGCCAATGCTAAAAAAACTATCAAGCACAAAGAGGCAGCGCCGCTGTGCACCGCGAGCAGTCAGGAATGCGGAGCTTGCGCAATGTGAAGGCCAAGTCCCATTGAAAGCAATGAGTAATGAGAGCTGAGCACCGCAAGAGCTTCTTGCGAATCTGACGTTTGCAGATGAGTCATGACTGCTTAAGGTTGTTGATTCCACTTCGACCTTTAGAATTTTAGGGGATTGTACCTCATTGTGTAAGATGATATTGATCAAAGTGCACACCCGCGCACGGATGAAGTGCATCTGATCACCGAAATGTGGCGGCAGTCTCACAAGCTAGGGAATTCCTGAAGCTGCCAAACTAGGGGCTGAGCTCCTGGTAACCAATGTTATTGCATTGGCTCAGGATTGACTTTCTGGGAGCCAGTGAAAGAGTAGCATAATCGAAGTCACCCCTGCCAAGCTCAGGGCGCGCATGACATCTTGCAGGCATTAGGGAAAACAGCAGCGGCCTGTCAGCTTGGGTAAGATGGTCAACTCTCCTTGTGTTCAGCTTGATATCTCGCCAGTTGGCTATCGCTGAGCGCGATGTGACACAGCGCGTGAAGTTTTTACTTCAGTCAGAAGAAGTTTTGCTGAAGGCCAGAAACCAAGAATGAAAATGACAGCAACCCGCAGAGCAATCTGAGCCCTCCAGGCTGACACTTTGCCAGAGACGGTTGCAAGTTGCTCGTGCCTCAACAGGATTCTGACTGTCGACTTCGGAAAGCCGAGTCAAATCAGGTCTGGAGTTCTACTTGAACTTGCACGCTGACCCAAGTGCACCACTTCGGCGCTACGCAGCACATTTCCTTGAGCGCTTGTTGCTCTGCAAGCCAGGGCCCAAGGAAGGCAAGCATAAGCTGGAAGAACTGAACGGGCGGCACCCAGCACAGCTTGAAGATGCCACCAAGGAGGCATGCTAAAGCATGTATTGGAGCAACCTTTCCACCCTTCCGTGTGCAGAAAGCGACCTTTGACAATTTCCTCTGTCCATTTTCTGAACTTGCATGCTGCTCATTACGCCAGCCTAGCTTTCTTCTGTCTTGTCAGATGGGAATTGCTGCTGACGTGTTCCAATAGGGTTGACACCTGGGTGAGAGAGCAGTTGTTCAAATCACAAGCCTTAAGATGCTTACACATCTTTCTGAGAAGTTGCTATTCAATTCTTGAGATGCAGCCCAGGGCTTGTCTCCAATTTTCAGTCAGACGTGCGCCTACTTGAGACTGCTGCCAGACTTTGGCACTTCCAAAGATGCAGAGTTTAGCTGTTTCGCTTGCACTTCTTTGGCCAACATCTAAGGCCTAGTCTGTCTCTGCGTTGCTCAGCAGCTATTGCCTCCCTGCTTGCTGATGGTGACGCTGCTGCCCGCACCCTGTGGCACTGACTCTCGTGTAGGGTAATGCACTTGTGAGATCTTGTGAGGTGCAGGAGCTTGCCTTGAAAGCGGCCTCTGTGCATCACGGACGCGCTCTGTTTGCGTTGTCGAAGGTGATGGACCTCAGACAGAAGCATACGTAACTAGCTAGAGTTGTTAGCGGCATTGAGATTGAACGTAACAAGCGTGCTAAAGCATGCAAGGAGGATGCTTCCGAGTCACAGAGACTTGCTGAGCAGCTCCGACGCCTGCAGGACAAGGCCAGAGCCGTCTTGCCTTTCAATGGGTTTCAAGAAATGGCTTCAAGTAAAACTCGTAGTGGGATTGACTGCACCTTGCTGTTGAAGATGGGCGCGTGGTGTTTTTTGCACTGGTAAGCATGTCAGGCGAGGATTCTCCTGCATTCCGACAGCGTGCCCATTCTGGCAATGGCCTCGCGGTGGGCTATTGCAGTGATCCTTTCACAGACGCCTTCTCCGCTGCTGCTGAACGTGCGACTTCCAGCAGAGCTCCGAGGCGTCAGTTGCATCCAGGATCTGCCAGGTGTGACCCGATTGGGGGCGTCAACGTCCTTCCTGGAGCCGACGGCGCTGCAGCAGCAGGCAGAAGACCTCTTTCAGCTGCTGCTGAAACTTCTCCGCCAGGCTGTTACCTCGTATAGCGAGGGCGGTCGTGCAAAGGCGCCGCAACTGATCAGCGCTGTTGGTGCAGTCGCAAGGCAGCGACCCAGCATGCTCCCGGCATGCCTGGGCATGTTCAAGTCACTACTTCAGCCAAAAGAGGTGCTCGGAGCACAGACTTTCGATGAGATTCAGAGGCTAGTGGCAGCAGAAACACAACTCTTTATTGCCTCTGGACTGACCAAAGAATGGTCTGCAGAGCTTCTCGAACTTTATGATTTGGCTGGTCAATCAGGCTCCCTGGAGGAAGTGTCAACACAAGCCAAGTACAAGCAGATCAGTGCAGTGACAGAGGATGTCGATGGAACATCTCGTGGAAATAAGCGGGCTCGCAGATCAGACCCATCCAAGCATGCCCAGGCCTTAGCTCTGTGTCATGTACCACCATGTACCACCTGGGTCATCACAGAGATCATCTAGCATCGGATGTTCACAGAGAGCGTGCCATTTGCACCGGCAGGCAACATCCAATCATGCTCGCTAGACTGGTTAGGGAGCTGGCAATCAAGATGTTTGGCCATCTAGCGCTTTGGAAGTCAGCAAACGCCTGGTGTTTTCATTTGTTGTTCTGAGATCCGCCATCCGCAAGGGGTGCCTTCTCGACATGACTGGTCATTAGAAGCCAGATCGGAGCGGGTTTTCAGACAAGCTCAATCAATATCGTGCACAGCGTAGAAAAAACAGACACTAGCTGGCATTTGAATGCAAGTCCGCTGTTGATGCAGAGTGTGTCACAACCGATGTTTGAAAAGATGATAAGTCATGATGGTGTCAAGGGGACTAGGGCTAGGGATCCTCACCTGACTGAGCCTGCCTGATTCAAAGTGACATGCATGAGCATGGTCCACATGATGCTGGGGATCATACAGAGATTGCGTCATCGCAGAGAAGTGCAGCCGCGATTCCCATGAGCGAAAGGCTACAAGTGTGCCAAGGTCTGGACATCACAGTGTGCTGACGGAACGCTCTCCGAGGATGCCATCTTTGATGCAGACGCCTTACTGTCTGGAGAGGCCGAGACCACTTGCAGGCGTTTGGAGGACTACTTTGGTTTACCAAGCCAGCGCGAGCCGGCTGGACATGTTCCTGCGCCAGCAGTCCTTGCCACCAGAATTAGCAGCCAGGCGACCAGGTTGCTTACCAGTCTTTTTGGCTTCTGTTTTTCAACGAAAGCTCTCTTCCAGAGCTTTCGTTTAACACCCAGCTTGAGCTGGGTTTGGGCGGTTGTTGAGGGCCGTGATCGGAGCATATCCGGTCCGTTTTGGGGTTGTTTTGAAGCTTGAAATCAGGGTTATTGAAGTGATAGGTCGAAACTGGGGCGATATCCGAAACCATGCCTGGTTTGGAGGGCATGTAAAACAAAAAAGGTTGCTTTGCATTCGCAGGCACCCTTTAAGCCCCTGCTCTCCTCCGCCACTGCTTCAGGAATCTTCATGAGCTTCCCCCCCCCCCCAAAAGGCAAATTGTGTTTCTTGATGTCAGTTGCCATCGAAGCCCAGCTTATGAAGACAGGCTGAGCTCGCGCGCATTGCGCTTACATCTTTGAGTTCGTTGTCCGTCCAGCGAAGTTTGCACCGAGAGCGTGCGCACGAGAACGCAGTCGTGTTCTCGGATGCCGCTTCTGGGCATGGCACCAATGGCACCTCAGAGCCAGAGATGTTTCAAGAGCAGCTGTCACTTCTGGTTGAGGGCAAGGCTGCAAAGCACAATGAACCTGAAAAACCTGATGAGCCTGTAGCGCGTGATCCTCGGGCTGCACTTTCCATGGATCGATCTGGCGGCGAGAAGAACGGCATAGCTGCAAATCTGCTGCCGCTGGACGTGAGCAGCACGCAGCTGCCAAAAGACCTCCGTGCCAAAGACGTCCCCACCTTGGCTTGAATGCACAAAGCTAAACTTGTTGCAGAATGTTGCAAAGACAAGACTTGTCCCAGGCATTGCAGCTGAAGCTTTTCGAGGAGGTTCTGGCAAGCTGGAGCAGTTTCCTCCTTACATTCTCTTGCGACTGGAGTGGGCTTCGCTGGAATTGCCTTCCCTGAGGAATGGAGACTTCATTGCAAAAATATTCCTTCTTGCCCACGCAGCTAACCTCATACACGCAGGTCAGCCGCCAGGCAGTGCAAGGGACAAGCCGTCAATTGCAATCAGAAACGCTGCGCAGCGCTGCATTGTCTTTGTCTGAAGGTTGCTGTGCACCTTGCAGCTGGCCAAAGGACTGGCATCGATACGTGAGTTTAAAGCCTGTGCCTGCGTGGCCTGCGTGCCTACATGTGCCTACGGTGTCTTTGAGGACGGCCTTGCAGCCAGAGCTGCAGCGGTCCATGCCTGGAGCTATGAGAACTTTCGAGATCCTGCTGACACGATACGAGAACGGCTTGGACGGTTTCAACGGATTGACATAAGGTGCCAGGCCTACGTCCTACGAAGCTTTGACTTGCTTCAGGCAGGGCACGGAGCTTTGCCGCCATCTGCAGCCCATAGTATGGCATCACGAAGCTCGCCAGGCTTCACTCCAATCGGAGAGCAAGGCACGAGATCTGGGAAAAGTGGAGCGCATCATTAGTTCAGCTGCTTGCAGGCGGGTGCGTCAGCTGCTATGGACCAGCTTGTGGAGCTTTTTTATGCCAAGTTCTCTGCAGACGTAGCCCGGTTCCAGGCGAAAATCGGATCAAGCATGTCGCGTCTGAAACGAGATGTGAGTAAAGAGGAGTCAGCAGTCGGAACCAGCGCGCCGCTTCGTGAAATCCTGGAGGTGCTGTAAGGGTTAATAAGGGTTAGTTCAAGTTTATAGCCTGTCACGCGGATTTTCTTTGAGGCAGGTGGCTCTTCAAGGCGCCTTGCTGGGACGAGCTTCACCTACGCGGACGGGGATTCGAAGCTTTCACACGCACACAAGTGTCTGAGAATCACAGCCCGAAGGAGCTGTTCGACATGTGCTTAGCCGAATTTGAAAAGCGAGATGTTCCCAGGCAATCTTGCATATCTTGCACTTCTCGTATCAAAGCCTTGCGTTGTGGTGGATAGCGTGGCAGGCGTGAGCTGCGCACCTTCCTGGGCGAGCTCCCGGCCGTGCCTTTGTCTGCTTTCCGAGCTCTTGAAGCACAGTGCCAACTGGCATCGGCTGATGCCTCAGTCTCTCTAACTTTGCAGTTGCGGGAACGCGTTGTCTTCGCAGGCTCGGAAAATGGCCTTGCTCACAATTCTGGCCTTAATCGAAGGTCCTTTTGCCTCAAAGTGCGTCCACTGTGGCATTCCGGTGTTGATTCCGCAGGTAAGCCAGCATGCCGCTGGCGCGGGCTCCAATTGCTTTTCAAGTTGATCTTCTCAGTTGGAGAGGTTTGGTACTGCGATGGGTGTGCATAGCAACATTGAAACATTGACCAGGATTCTGTTCGTTTTGACACGATGCGTCTCATCGTCAACAGAATCTACTCTTCTGGTCCGCGGCCTGCCATGCGTGACCTGGCCGGGAAGCGTAGATTGACGTTCGAAGGAGGTGGGCCATAGCAACTCCGAGTTAAGCCACATAGACATGTGACTGAACGGTATGCTCTATCGCCCTGATCTTTGGGTAGGTAGGTTTCGTTTTTTGTACGCATTACAAATGTTGATCCGCAGGCAAGTATGCGTGTAAGTAAGAGAGTGGAAGAGTCTCAGTTTCAGGAGCTGGATTAGAAAACCTGCGCTCTGGGCGCAGGGGAGCTCAGAGAAGGGGCGGGGGCCTGTGGGGGCATGGGCATATTTTCTCACAAAGAGACTTTTTGATTTCTGATCTTGCGGGCTCGGACTCCGAAATTAACCAGAGATGCGGGGGACACTCAAGAAGTGTATCCAGGACGTACCTGTTCTCGAAAACATGACAGGGGAATAGTCAAGGAACATAGGTGCAGGAGAAGCCTCTTTGTTGTGTATGGCCTCGAAGATCACGGACTTGGCATGCGAGTGTGCTTGAAACATGATAGGATTCGCCCAGGAAACAAGCATTAAGTGCAGAGGGCATTTTCATAAACAAAAGAACACGAAGTTCCGACAGAGTTGAAAGAAGCCCCGCACAGAAATTTGTAGGTTTCTATGAGGGTTCTAGTGGTTGGTTTGGGAGTAGCTGCGCACATGATCTTGTCGAATTGATATGGGCACCTTGGTATCTTGTGCAAGACTTGTCGTGCGATAATTGAGTTTTCGTGCCTCCTTTCAGACTGACAAGATGTGTGGCGGACACGCGATTTGAAGTGGTGCTCGTTGCATGGGCATGCCAAGTCCGGGTTGCAGTGGGAATCCGCGCATGCAAATATTAGAATTTTAGGTGTGCATCTCTGGTTAGGCCACTGGGAATTGCGTGGGAATTGCAAAGCTGATAACAATTCTCACGGCATCTCATGCGAAAATTTGTCAGGGAAGCCACAATTGAATTGATGGAAACTATTAGGGCCGGGTTCTCGGAGAATGGACTTTGCGCAAAAAACAGTCTCGGAAAATCTTGTTCATTGTTTCGGAAGTCATGCTGCGCCTGAGTAGCAAGAGTTGTTTGTGGGCACCGCCAGCCGAGAGTTGGTTACCACTCCAAACTGTGCAAAGCTTGTTTCGCGGAGCATGTCAGGGAGGATTGCTTGCAGGGCCTGGGCAATCAGTCAGTTTACAACGTATGACAGGGCTGTTTTTCTACCCTTCCAGGTCCCTTTGCTGACCCTTTGAAATTTGAATTAAAATATGGCACGCAGGTCAATGACTCATGCGCTTTCCCGGGCTCCGGAAGTTTTTTCATTTTTGCGTGCGACGTTTTGGGCCCGAAGTTTCGGAAGCAAAGTTTTCGTCTGCGCAAGGAGAAGACACGCAGGAGAAACTCGCGGCAGGTATGTACTGGAGTGTTGCACGAAAAGCGTCCGAAATTTTGTAACTTTTGTGGCCTGGTCTAGAAATTCCACCGAAATTTCAGCGCATTCTCGGGGAGCCAGTTGGTAAGGTCGTGTGACAGCCTTCCAACACAGATGCCTGGGATAAACGTTGTCAGCTTCAAGGGTCCCTTTTCTGTTCCTTAAGCAGGCATTATAGCTCCAAGCCAGTACTTTCATAGAATTCTATTACTACACTAAAGAAGGAGAAACAGCCCCATACTGAGTATTACTTGTGACGCGTCTCTTTCCTACAGGCTTAAAATGTTCCAAGAAGTCCTTTGGTGGGCCTTCTGACCCGCAAATAGCACTAGCCCAGTCTTATGAAAGCCCCGCTCTATGGCAACTCCAGGTGTAGCAGCACAGTGTTGGGAAGCATGCATCTTTCCAGAATTTTTAAGCAATCAACAAGAAAAGTCCACAAAACAATTGGGGAGCTTGCACGGCTAAAAGCTATCCTTGGCTCTCCATGGAAAGTGATGGTCTCTGTACTTCTCTGTTAAAAATCTGAATGAGAAAGCAGCAGAGGATTTCGCGTGAAGGGCAATGTGGTTTTGATGATGATGGCTTGCATGCACATGCGGGGTTGTATGATAACCCGGCTTGTCCATATTGTGGAAGGAGTGTCCCAGATAGCACTTGACCTGCAAAACGATAAGGAGCAGAAAAAAAAGGATAAGGCTCAGGCTTGTAGTGGCCGATAAAATTAGGAATGTATGCATAAGGTAGTCTTCTGATGCGCCATCATTATTGTATGATGGCCCCTCAGCACTTGACCAGCACCAGTGTAATAAAGTTCTTGAGTCTGACCCCAGATCATGGGAACACGAGGAGCCCAAAACAAAAAAAACGATGCCAAAAACGAGAAGGTCGGATTCATGAAAGGCCGTTTTGAAGGACCAGTCCCGCCAGTAAGCGCCAGCGCTACTTGCACTATTTGCCGTACTTAATAAGAAAGTCCATCGACTCCCATTCCATCTCCTACGCTTACGACACTCGGAAGTACCTGACTCATTGTTCTTTTTGTTGGTAGCGCCGCGCTCATATTCCTTATGGAAGCCATTGATCCCTCCTGCATCCTAAGCCCCTCTCTTAGCTACTCTCAGTTGAATGCTTGGAAAAGCAGGGACACCCCAAACACTGTAGAACGATAAGGAGCAAAAAACACGATAAGGTTGAAGGTTATGTATGGTTTGTTTTATACAACCCCATGTGAGAGTGCATTCAGAGTCCATGTAATTGCCAGGACTGCGGGAGAGCATCACCACTTCAAAAGCCGGGCGATCTACACATCAACTAATGGGAATCGAAACAAACATGATGGGGCTTGGAGATATCCAGATTTGTGATAGGCCCTGCGGCAGGATGTCAGGTAACGGTGATTTACATGGGCATATCTGTGCTGAAGAGGAAAATACGGAGAGTTGTAAAAAGGCTTCCACGGATGCCAGAACCTTCCGACTTAGAAAGGGTTTACATGGAGACATCGTCACAACTTGCACCTGTCAGCCGGGGTCGTATTTGCTCTGCTAGCAAGTCGTTATTCGCATTTTCTGCCCACTCTTCTGGAATTGGAATTTCCATTAAAACCTTCTAGACACTGGAACATTCTCCAAACAAACGAGCCTTTCACCAAATGGATTCTGAATTGAGTCGAGCAATGTCTCTGGAAGCTTGGGTCACAGGCCAGAAAGACCTAGTTTGGGAATATTTGTGTTTTACTTTGTCTTCGGGTGCAAGCGCAAAGGCAGTTGCCAGACCTAGGCTGGCAGCTCCCTCACTTGACCGATGAGGAAGCCTTGGCGCTTATGGCAGAGGGTGAGGCCAGCTTCTTGCCAAGCTCACGATCACGTGAACTCCGCGGCAGGTTGTCCTAGACTCCAGGGCAAAGCTCTGCAAATCGCACACCGGATGCCAAAATCAAAGATACAACGACTCGATTGAGAGGTAAGGTGATGTGTAGGGACAGATGGAGGAATCATCGGGAGCCAGACATCAGAAGCAATCCCGAGCTGGTGTCGTGTCTGGGCGTCCTACTCTAGTGCATTCTGCTTGCAGAATGCAGAAGAATCAATTGGTGATGACAATGCTGTTTTCCAGTTCTCGCAACAGTAGGAGTAGAGTGTTCTTTGTGGTTGGCTGATGGAGTGCGGCCTGTTCCGGATTTATATATATATATATGTTCTATCAAACGGTTCTTTCGAATGGTTTGGTTGAGCTTTCTTGGGGATGATCAGCAAGTCTAAGTCTCGCATCAGGGCACTGCTGACGGCACCAGCTGGGACCTGCCAGATCCTGACTTTCTCTCCTTGCAAAGGCCTGGACAAGCCCTTGACAAGCACAGTAGCTGCGGGCAGCTGTAAGTCGTTTAGTTTGATCGGAACATCGGTCACCAAACCTATCCTTCTAGCCTCATACGTGGCTGATGAGAACTGACTTTGAGCCGCACGGGTGTTGTTTCTGTGACTTCGCAGGCTTCGAGGACGATGCATCGAAGATATTGCAACGATCATGTTGCGCAGGGTCCTCAAGCAGATTTGCCAGTGCATTGTTGCAAATTGCAAGACTTCTGGTTGAAAAACTTAGGCTCCGTTGCAGGTGGCCAAAGTGACTTTCGGCATAAGGTTGGCATCCCCTTCCGTCTAGAGCAAGTTCGTGCGGAGCTCGCTGAGCATCCTTGTACGGGCTACACATGCAAACATGAGGACAAAATTGAATTGATTTCTGTAAGGTGCCGATATCTTCAAAGGCGCAGGGCATGCCTTCCACGTATACACGGATTTGACCCATGGGCAGGTGCAATTTGCGCACCACAAGAGAGAGTGTGGCTCTACCACGGACTTTGCATAAAGAGGCTTGAGTCCACAGACTCGCTTGTGTTACAACCATCCGCATTCGCATGGCTTTTCGCAAACCAAGGCCAATCTTAATGCATGGCTTGTTTGAGACCTTCGTCCACTGCGATGCAGCAATGAAAGAGCACTTGATCAATTCGATCGAGGAGGCCTCGTCGCCATGCCGCAGCATATCTGCGCACAACCCCCTGTCTGAAGGCGGTCAAGCATATTCCAGTCAGCGAACAGGAGATGTCTCGGAGATTTCTGCATCTGCACATGGATTTATGACTAGCAGGAGCTTCTAGTGCTCGTCCAGAAGGCCATAGCATCCTGAGCTTCGGGTCTGCAAGAAGAAGCGTGACGTGCTACCGCTCGGCCAGGCAACTCCACAGACGGAGGCTCTTGTTCTCAAGATGCTCAACATCATGATGTCAGGGGCTTCAGATGCAGTTTGCTTGTGTTGAGTTTGTGCACCTGCAACTGTAACTATCAGGCCATGTCAGGCCAATTGGCCTGCAAACTCGTGGATATCTTTTTTGGCTGTCAGCGATGTCGGGCAAGTAGAGGCTTCAAGACTTCATTCTATAGGCCCATCTTCTTTTTGATGGTCTTCCGACTCTAGGGCTGTGGGCGAGACTGCCAAACGCTACTGCATGCACTTTCCTTTGTGCCAAGGACCACGAGAGGAAACGAAGCCCTGCTTCCAGGCTTTGGTGAAGCCGTGGTGCGGCTGTACAAGGCCTTCAGTCAGTTCCCTTGCTGTTTTGGTGCCGTAATGTGCATTATCGAGGAGACTCAGAACCCCCGCCTACTTGTTCCCGTTTTCGACATGCTCGATCGTTTGGGCCTCAGCTGTCAGGGCCAAGCTCTTCGTGCTGAAAAGACGTCTTTCCAGCGCAACGGCTGCACATTTTCAGGCAAGTGACCTGGTAGTGCTGTAAGCGTTTGACTGGACAATCTCTTGTTCTTCTGGCATGGGGTAGGTCCAGTCTGTCCAGCTGCTCTTGTTTGGTCGGAATGGGACACAGAAGAATCTTCAAACAAGCAAAGGAATGACACAGAAGAATCTTCAAACAAGCAAAGGAGTGAATCACACAAGCCACATGCAGGTTTGGCCCGCACAAAACGGGGGTGGCAAAAGGTAGGGCAAGTACCCCTAATCACATCATGCCACATCATCTAGACAACTGGTGCTTCAGTATCTGTAGCTTCTAGATTCGGTGAAGCTTTGTTCAAGCGCTGGGAATTCAACGGCAGCTCGTGGAGTTTGCCGGCTGACGCATTAGATTCTTTTTTGATGGGCAGGTGGCGGTGTAATCCGAGCTCTCGATTAATCAAACCTCCGACATGTAAAAAAACGTTGGCCAAATTAGCGGTCCTAGAGCATGTTTACGGCAGAGGCAGTTTTGGCCCCAAACAGATTTAAGGAAAATGATCTCCAGATCCTAAACAATAACTTCGAAATCCTGAGAGCTTCAAGGCTACCAGTACAGCTTGAACTTAGAAACCGTAGATCGTAAACAAGGAAGCTCTTGCTTAATCAGGACCTGACATTAAAAAAGACTTACAAGTAGGAAAACTCAATCACGTGCATGCCTGTAAAATGAGAATAATATGAGAGCTGATTCTCAGACCGTATTTGCTTAAGAAGTTCATTAGGGATTCAAGTTTACAGGCTCAAAACATTGTTTGCTGAGCTACCTGCAACGGACCTTGCGTCAGAGGGGTTTTGTTTGCATCCACGGAAAACCCCCTAGAATAAAAGGAATTTGCTTCAGGGTCAATGACCTAATTAATCTAATTACCATGCCGCCATTAGAATCAGAAAAGGGAAGATGATTTTGCTTGGAAAGGCTGCTCTTAACAGGAGAATAAGAGAGCCGATTCTGAGACCTGATTTGCTTATTGAAGCTCATTGGTAATATAAGGCTCAAATATTGCTTCCTGAGCCTTACGGATCTTACCTGAGCGGATCATTCTTTTACATAGGAAACAGCAGTTCTTTGTCAGGGTCGTTTGTTTCGGCATCTTTTGATAATTAGAATGTATTTAACACCAAAAAACGTTCTCAACATCAACCAAAACCTAAGTAAAACCAAGGCAGTTTCAAATTAAGCTCGACTAAAGGTGATGCGTTTTAATGGATTTCTCCCCTTTGAACCTAATTGAAGGTAGTCAAAATCTATTCAAGATGAACTGTCATAAACCTAATCGAAGCCAATTTCATCTCAAATCCGAGTCGATCTGAAATCAATTCGAAATCACTCTTACTATTTCTGCTTTACGATACTTCCTGTACTTAGCATGATTTACTTTTCCTTCGGATCTTCGTATCTCTAGAACTCTAGAATATATGATGGGGCTCGGTAATGATTCTAGGGCGGGGCTCCTTCAAACATCAAGAGTTCCGATCAAGGGTATGACAAGAAGCTTCATCCGCGCAAGCATTGAGGTCTTTGTATTCGCGTCCCAAATCTTTCCTTTCTTGCTTCATTCATTCCGGCCGCCCGGCAAAAGCTTCACTTCTACAAACGTTCGAAGCCGCGTTTCTGTGGCTTCTCGAACCTGCCCTTCTGTTTGCACTCTGTCCCCTTTCCTCCGGGAAGGAATCAAGGAAGGAAGGATGACAGAAAGAAAGGAAGAGCAAAAGAAAGGAGGAAATGAAGTCAGGAAGGAAAGGAGCAAGAAAAACGTGAAGGAAGAAGGGAATCCAGGAAGGATGGAGGGACCTGGAGGCAAAACGCCTCCGAAGCGCCAATCACAAGATACCAGGGATATCACCTTGTTCAGATGCTACGTATCAGTGGCGCTATCAGTCACCATCTGTGAATAAGGTAGCCCGGTCCTGCCCCTACAGACCCCAAAGTTTAAGCCTAGGATGCCCCGACCCTTCTACTCTTCAAGGACCCTGTCCTATTCCCGAAGCCTGAGCCCTGCTCACCTTTTCCGTCAAGCACTACCCACCCTGCCCTCTGAGCCCCAGTGCTGTCGGCAAGCGTCACCTGGACTTGGCACTTGTTTAACACTCGTCAAAAACTAAATTTTTAAAAGGTGACGCTTGCGCAGGTTCCTTGCGAAGCCACTGCAACGATTGTCGTTTGCCCAACCGCTCCGCCAGTATCTTCCCCTCATCAAACAGAGCATAATACCCACTGGCTAGGCACTTACGGAGCTCACTACCATCCATCATCTTGGTTAGACAATCCGCTAGCATTGCCTTCGAATGAACCCACCGCATCTGGCAGTTTTCCTGAAGTCTCTCCCGCAGCAGCAAGCACTCTAGCTGGGTCCTAAGCTCAGAGCAGCTAGGAATAGCCGTCTTAGTCGCTATGTCAAATGCGCTCTTACAGTCTGTTACCAGGGCTGCTTGAGGAGAACCCTTCAGTACTTGATCCGGCTGGGAAATGTCCACGGAGGGATCTTTCATCCACTCCCAGAAGAGCCGAATCCATGACATGCGGTCCACTGAGTTACACAACGCGACTACCTCTGCGCTCAAGGTACTTCGTACCACCCGGGCGATTTTCCGGCTTGACCATGCCAAAGGAGCAATCACGGCCTTCTCATTTGACAACATTCTCCAATCCGTAGCTACGACAAGTGTCCCTTGATAGGAATTGCTATCCTTGCTAGTTGCGAAAGAAGCGTCTGAAAACGTGCAGAACGTTACGTGAGCTTCCGGAATGAGAACTGTCATGAGTGAGACTGGGTGCGATTTGGCTTCGTGCAAAAATCGATTGGCTTCCAACAAATGTGACACCCTTGCCTTTGGAACTGCTGACTGAAGCATCCCGACCTTTGCTGCCAAGTCGGGTCTGGAATGAACAGCAGCGTATTGGATGCTGCCATTCAGTCGGCGCAGCTCATGAACCTCATCTGGAGTTAAAGGAGAGTCTGGCTCAGCCCTCCGCTGCTTAGGAACATGCGCTGGCTGAATGCGCTCCAAGTATTCATGCTGATCATACTCTATGCTCCCGTCGTCCCACTGCTTAAAATGAATGCCCGTGAACGTGAACTCGCCCTCGTCGTATGACCCAAAACTATACTTATCCCGAAGCTTCTGGACCACCATTCGGAAATACTCATCCCCTCCCCCAGACCATCATCCACATGAATCCCTAGAACCCCATGCACTTTAGGCTTGCCGTGGGCGTCCTGAGTGATCAGGCTGAAGGTACATGCATCGAAAGGGCTCTGCGCAAAGCCGAGATTTTCCAGTGTCCCTTTTAAAGTCTGGAACCACAAGAAAGGTGCATCTATCCTACCGTATGCCCCACCCATTAACTGACACTGGTCTCCTGGCTTCATGTCTAAGGCCTGCCTAATTTCCTCTGGAGGATGGATACCCAAAGTCCGGCCATCTCCTTGGCCTTGCAGAAAAGCGGTGGAAATGTCAAAATTGATCAGCGTCCACTTGTTGGCCGCCACTTTCTGGAGAATGAGCTGACGAGCATCTTTCCCTAGTGTCGGTGCATCATTCGGGATCTCTCCCAAACCCGGATCCTCAAACCCTAGCGCTACTAACCTTGCCTTAGCCCTACGGGGACCACCATGCTGTTCAGGAGGTTTCCATGTAAGGATCCATCGACACCGTAAAAGTTGCTCATCAGCCAGCGTCCCAGCTGCTACCCGGCGCACTGTCTGATGACTGAGCCAGGCCCCTACCTCTTTGCCCTTGGCCTGTACAAACTGCTCTTGCTCAGAGCTGGTCAGGTCACGCATTTTAACCTCTACCCGTTTCTTCCTTTCAGGGGTAGCCAACATAACGTACTCCAAAGCTTGCTGAGCAGACGGCAGATTTGACATGTCTACCTGGGTCTCATGCAGTGTCATCTCCCAGACCTGTCCTTTATCTGGAAATGCCAGAAAGCATTCGGCGTCTCCAAACAACAGGTCATCGTCATCATCTACCGGTACTGGAATTTCATGAAACTCTGGCTCACCGGCACTTTCCATCACTGCATCTGGCCCGATCTCACCTGTCCTAGAAGCAGTCGGTGAAACTTCATGTTCAGGCTGTGCGCCATCCTCACCACTGTTTCCAAGAGCATCAGGACTGTATTCCAACAAGTCGGGGTCTGGTGCAGATCCAAACGTAGTGGACCTTGGTATTGCCAAGTAGGGACGAAGTAGATCGTGAAGGGGATGTTCCAATGGGGCCGATTACCGAATCCGGAGAGAATGCGGTAGAGGCACTTCATATTCCCAGACTGTGGTCTTAATGGTCCTGAGCTTGACGAATCCGGAGCTGCGCCATGCTGCAAAACAACTGTCCTCCATTCTCTCATGGAGGCCGATCTTACTTGCTCTGGGGAGGCTCTTATCAGCTGGCCACAATGGCTGATCCATACTACCTTGCTGCCCTCGCTGCAAATAACCTGACCCGGCCCATGCCATCGGCCTTTGCCTCCACTGCCTCCTCCCTTCTGCGCTCGCCAATAAAGAATCCAATCACCGGCCTCAAAGGTTTGACGGGGAGGACGCGAACGCCTAAGCAAATCCCTTCGATAGGAATTATCGTTATCCGCCTTTACAAGTGCAACCCTCGCCTGTTCCCTCCTCTGGAGGCTTCGACGAAAGGAGACGCCTTCCGGAGACTCACTCGAAGCTAGGGAATGAGCAGAAGCGTCCTCATCTGACACTATAGACCCAGGAAGCCTAGACATCTTCCCGAAGACCGCTTGTTCGGGAGTATATCCCTTTACACGGCTCAGACTATTTTTGGCCCAAACAGCTTGGCGCAAACACAACCGAAACTCCTGCTCATCCGCAATTTCGTGCTCGGAGTCCATGCGGCTCAGAATTTCCTTGATGATTTTGCCGTGTGCCTCCACGCGGC